CTTAAAATGCCTTGAACTAATTCGGAAAAGTAAAAAAGTTGCCTTTAAATACGTTAATTATTAGGTCTTAAATGTTGTGCTGACTAGCTTATCTCGTATTTTCTATGTAATTTATTTTTCTTATGGGATTTTTATGTCAGGCAAACGTTTTGAGTCGCCTGACTTATCGAGGCGGTTCAGGCTACCGCTAACTAGCTGCAAGTTTAAATTCATTGCCAGTTTGCTGGACAACCTTCTCCTTTGGCGCTTCCTCCCTCCTGTTGCGAATCCGTACGAGGCTACGTCCATTCTGCGCAAAAACAAAGGCTTGGCACTACAACTATGTGAAGTACACAGTTGTCGTTTGTACATCTCTGTTCTGATACAGGTCTTAAATTTCATTCATGGTGGTCTTAAAAGTCTTAAACTAGAGTCTGTGAAACCTGCAGAAACCCCTTCCGTCATGTCGGCTTGTGAGGACAGACTCTCGGATTTCCGTCTTCTCTGTTTCAGGTACCGTAGCGAGAAGATGACGATGGGTTATGCAGAGTACATCGCCCACCGCCAGCACCATCACTACCAGAACGGCATCGGGCACCCGGTGCCGTCGTATAACCATTATTCCTGACAGCGAGCCGCATGACCAATCATTGGACCTCTCCGCGGACCTTTTCCCAGGAGAGCCCGCCCCCTCCTGGTCTAGCTATTTCTACTACTGTACCATTTTATGATGTTAGTTTCCGTTGCCGTGCTGGCCGTCTCACAGACGTTGACATGGCAACGGGTGGCAATGAAGCATCGTTCGATTATGGCGAGAAAACCATGTTCCTTTTGTTTGCCCGTGGTTGAGCTTTTGCAGCATATGTATACCTATATCTATAACCCCCTCCTTCCGGCCCCCTCCATTCGTTCATATTATTTTGGAAAAAATAACCAATATTAGATTTTCATTAATATTGCGTCTTTCAGCAAAGCTAATCAGGTGTTTGATTCTGTGGATGGAAGCGAGTCTCCTTGGGTGGATTTAGGCTTTGCTACACTTTTACATTTACTAACCCTTTTTATTTTTATCGTCTAACTTGTCGTTTCTTTTACTTCACTATCCAGACGTGTAATATCATGTAGCAAAGGCAAAACTGCAGTTCCAAAAGGCTGTGTCCTCACTACTTTCAATTCCTCTCAAAAACTTGACTGCCGAGTCGTGCTGGCCTTGTAAACGCTCGTCGTGTCGTAGTTGGAATTCGTACGCGGGATACTCCAAAGTGTAGATAGGATTGTGACGCCTTTTGATCGGCTTTTGCTGATGCGGTTTATTGATTTGCGTCACAATTGTGTGTGTGTGTGTGTGTGCGTGTGTGTGTGTGTGTCACTGTGTGTGGATTATAGGCTCCACTTTGTCACAAGATGGAAAACCAGTAGAATAAATTAGACATTGGGTTTCAGCTACAGGTTCAGCTGCATTTGTTTGACTTTACGTAAAATTTTAAACTTATTTCCGAGGGTTCATTTAGACTTAAGAAGGTAGAAGAACAAAAAGATGTACATGAAGCTTTTGTTTAATTAAAAAAGTGAGTGTTTCTTTGTTTTATATATTTTTTTTTCTGCGTTTACTGACGGGGAGTCGCGCGATAGGGACTTGCTAAAACAATTTAAAGCCATACTCTATCTCCCACAGTTTTGTCCGTTATCAGTGGCGTTGGGTGCTAAAATGTTGAGACGTTGCTTCAGCCCAAAACCCCGACGCTTCACTTAGTTCCTCGTGTCATCGTGAAAACTTCGTCTTGCATTTTCCGATTATTAACCATCGTCCCGCAGAGTACGACGTATGTTTTAAGAAGAAAGAAAAAAAAGTCGCACACAAACAGAAGTGATCTTATTAACATGTTTGTGTCATTTAGAAGTGCATGTCATAGTGTGTAGTCGTGGATATGGCGCCGCCGCTGTTCCCCCTCACTCCCGTTGATCCGCGTGCCCGCAGCACAGGGAATGTTCTAGTTTCTGTCTGTTTCAATCAGAGGGTTACAGGAAGTGTAATTTTCTTTTTTTGTTTTAGAAAAAGAAAAAAAAAAAAAAAAGCCAGGGCTTTGTAAAGCCAGTTCTTATCCAAATATTACCCAGGTGTGACTTCGATCCACACACACTGCTAGTTAGGCGTACTTCAACGAATGTTCGATCTGTCGAGGATCGCCAAGTTGTCGGTCTGCGTGTTTCTTTTGCAAACTGGAATTTTATTGTTTGTTTTTGTTTGTTTTTTTGAGAGATTCTTGTTGCTTGACCAACATCTTCTGTCGTAACAGCCTTTTTGTAACTGACAGGTTTTTTCTTTTTTCATAAATTCTTTTCCTTTATGCAAAAATGTCAAGGGCTTTCGGCAATCCATCCACAGTAACCCGAAACGATCCAGATTTCCAGTTGTGTTGCCTTAAGTTTTTTTTTTTATAAAAAGAAAAAAAAAACAACAACAAAGAACGACGGACCAGGAGAAAGTCGTTCTGAGTGCATCCTCTACTTGAACGGCGTACAGGCACGCTTGTCGTCCGGGAGACTCCGCGTGCTTCGCTCCATATCCTACGCGTGGATTTCACATAATCAACGTTAAAGTCGGGCACCGTTAAAGTTCCAACCACCAGGGGTCAGCGTTGCGGCCGTAGGAAACCGTACCGTACACTACCACAGCAGAAGAAGCCGCAGTCAGGCGCCTTCTCTCCTGGTCCGTCGGCTACAGCACAACCTGAATTTTTCTCTGCTGCAAAACCAAATTGACCATGCTCTTTTACATATATGTCTTTGTATACACATGCAATGTATTTAGTTGCATGTATGTATGAGTATGAGACCTATGGTTTTATCCATGATATGCTTGATCTATGGCTTAGACACTCTTATTAACCATTAAGAGATTTAAAAGACAAATATGGTGCTATCGGACCTCATATTGGGGTGGTCACATCTCGTGACTGGTCATGCGGACTCATTGATCATATCATATATATACTTAATGATGCGACATGTAAGATTTTCTCTGGAGTTGCGTTGCTGTGCGATCCAAGTCGTGGTGAAGGATCCGACGCGGACGGAAAGCTTTTTGTTGAGGTGGACTTGGGTGATTTTTTTTTTTTTTTCCTTTGGGGTGTTGGATCAATTCCACTCTGGGAAAACTGACATTCTCTCTCGTAATGAAGAAAGACTCCACAGGCGCTATGGAATGTACTGTTAACGGTCACCAGGGGAATTGAACAGCGATGTGTAATAGGAGAAAATCCTACATGTTAACCTTTTTACAATCCTTGATATATGCAGATCTGTTCAACAGGTGTTTTTTTTTTATTTGTTTTTACATTTATGTTGTTTTTTTTTTCCCTACCAGTGCAAGTCAACACTTTGCAGGTTTGAAAGGACAAGAAGTCACACATTTTACCTTCTGTCCCTTGATTACTCCCTTCACTGTGGCCCAACCTCATGGCCTCGTTTGTCAACGTGTGATGCATGTCGTTCACTGGCGAGATGGCGGGAAGATCCGAGGTTCCCGTTTTATTTTATTTTTTTACTTTTTTTTTTCTCTTTTTTGGGAGGCTTTTTAGCTGCTGAATCAGCTAACCACCTCCAAAAGGGCAACATTTAAGACGTTAACTAGCATTAGGTCCTGTTGAGGTCGTTTCAGCCTCTCTTTATTGAAATTTACCTCTACAGAGACATAGATTTTAATTTTTTTTTTTTTTTATCTTTTCTTTTCCAGTGCGTGTCCGCACTGGTCCGACATTTTCGAATCACTGATACCTCAAGTAATTGCAAGGAACGACATCGGTAGACTGTTGTAGCAGATCGCGTGTTTTGGTTCCCATACCAGGGTTTGGAGTTCAGCCTCGGCATTCCCCGCGCGGCCGCCCCCAGCGCCGCGCCGCGCGGCGTGCTCAAGCTCTTTGTTACCTTCGTATGTTCGACCGAACCAAAGATGCCAGCGGCCATGCTCAGATGCTGCTTTTTTTCAGGCCTGGCTTCCTGTCCTTCCAAAAACAAGCCCTGCTCGTAACTAAATGTTCTTCTTTTTGTCTTTTTTTTTTTTTTTTTTGTGCGATTTGTGACTTGTTAAGCAACCCAGTTCTTCAGTGAATTGTCATTCTTTCCGTCTCTGAAGCCGTTTGTGGCGTCAAGATGGCGAAAAATGGGTGCAAATTGTTACTTGTTTTATTATTATTGCTATAATTTCTTTCTTTTTTTTTTTTTTTTTTTAAATGAAAATCCCATGGTGTGCCTCCTAGCTTTATGGGTTTATAAATGTTTGTTTTCCCCCTAAAGACCAGCAGTTATACTTTGTATAAAATATGGATTTTTTTCCTTATTTTTTTTATGCCATTAAAGATGAAAAAGCCTGTTTTCTTTACTCGACCCAGTAGCTGCACTGGTATACAATCGCACTGATAGAAAAATCAAAATAAAAAGGAAAAAAAAGAGAAATAAGTGAATCAATAATAATAATGATAATGACAAATAAGAACTACAATAAACTTGTGTTTAAAGCTTTTATTAAAAAAAAGTAAAAAAACAAACAAAAAAAGACTATTAAAAAAAGAGAAAAGACTGTTTTTGTACATCAAAATAAATTTTTTTCAAAGGAATATTTTGGATCTAGTTTCAAAATTATTTTAGTGGTTTTCTATGTTCTGAAAATTTTTGAGACACACTTCTGAGACGTGTCGCTGTATAAAATGACTTTCTTTTGCAGTGGCCTGATGGGCTGGGAGGGTTACCTGGTGTAACTCCTCATACCAACTTTTATTTCCTTTGTCAATTTTTGGATCTTTTTTTCCCTCTCTCTCTCTCTCTGCTTTAGTACTCTGAAAAATTGTTGATGGGGAAAAAAAAAAATTATGAACTGGGAACTTTTAATTCCATCCCTGTAGAGCTAGAATCCCTCTTCCTTTCCAACTGAATTGCTGTTTAGTGTGACGGAACTCCGAAACGGGCATTTATGATCGTATGACTCCAAAAGAAAATTAAAAAAAAAGTACATAACGCAAAAAAAAAAGGTTAAAAAAAATAAAATTGTGAAGAAGGCTGAAAGAACATATATCGATGGGTTATCTATAAGAAATGGCTGTGAAGATAATGTAGTTTTAAACATTGTTACCTTTTAAAATCATTTATTCAATAAAAAAAAACCCCTCCAAATCAGCTAAAAACGTGTCGTTCCTCTTGTTTTGCAGCACTTCTGCCCATGAGGCAGGGGAGAGGTGGGTTGGATGAAATGTTACTTTTTCCAGTTGCTGTTTAAGCAGCTTCACAGCAGGAAGTTTACCATTTTTAGTTTACTATCAAAATGACAGCCGAGTCTTAACAAGGTATGTATTGATCAAAATGTATTGCAGATAAAACTCTTGAAGCTTTAAAGAAGTGGTGGGCTTGATGTGAAACTGATACATGGGTTAAAAAAGGTTGGTGAAAACAAACTGAGTGGGAAGAGACCAGCAAAACTTTGACTTTCACTTAATTCTGTCTGAAAACCTTCATTTGCTTTTGCCTTAACTGACTTATTTTCATTCACTTTAAAATGGTCATGTTATTCATATTATGATGGTGTACTGAAATACCAGGTAAACCTTTCCTTCAATTTCCATAGCTTAGTTATGTTACTGTTAGCTAATGCATGCTAACATGCAATTCATCTGTTTTATGAAGTGGCCCAATGTAAATCTGAATCATTTTGTAAATTTGAAAATATATTTTTCTTTGTAAGCTGGAATTAAAATCCCAATCTTCAGCAGCTGTGTGGAGATTTAGACCTGGTGTGTCGTCAAGGAGACGGATTGGGAATATATGTCAGGAAGTAGTTTCCTACTTTATTCACATTCATGACTGAGTGCAATTCTCGAACTTTTACTGATTTTTACTCCATGAACGTGACAAACACCTGTATTAGGTTATTCTACCTGATTTTAAGAAGTTAGTGAACAAACGGCGTGATTTCATTCCGAGACCCAATCTAATTACAGTTTTTCACCCACATTTTCTGAATGCATGCCTCAAACTCTCAGAACTCTACACACAAAAAAGAAAATTCACAATGAGAAAAACCCTTCAATTCTCCTGCTAAATGAAAATTTTACATTCAAAACATGTTATATCTTCTTCAAATGATTTGTTTTCAGTAAAAAATAGAGTAGGAGAAATATCCGACTTTAAATTAGACTATCACAGAACATAAATACAAAAAAAAAAAATGTACACAAGGAAAACTTTGGCCACTGGAAATCCCTTTAATTGTTGCCACAACACACATCTGAACTTTGAGGTACAAAAGTTTCTCCTCTCCCCTTTTGATCCTGAAATAAAGACAATGCTACAGTTACACGAACCACCTCAGACTTGAAATGAAATATACATACGAGTGAAATTTTCCTATAATAGGTGTTGATTTAACGACATGAATTTTCAAGGTACACATTTTTATGCATGATTTGTTACAGTAGGAGCAAGAGTTTCTTTCAAGTGTCTTGATACATAGAGAGCCTGGTAAAAGTATTCACACCCCCATTGCACTTGTTCACGATCCGTGATACATCTTATGTGATCAAATTCACAATTACTGTGAAGTGGAAGGAAAAATGACACATGGTTATAATATCTAGGTTGTAAAATACAGCACAGCTGCACCCAGACACAACCGTCCACCTCCTTTGCTGAAAAATGAGATGAACGGTTCTGTTTTGGGGATTACTCTGGAATGTCTGGAGATTATTGTGCAAAGAAGGATTCTTTACAAAAAATTATGGAAAACCCTGAGCATCTTCTTCATGGAACTGTTAAACAAAAAACAGCAGAGTTTTCAGACAGAGGCTTCTTCTGAGCCGCTGCAATACAGACTGCTACAGGCTTCAGACTGCTTTGCTGAATACTGTCCACTTTGGGCTGCTTAGGTGTAGCTGTGCTACACTCTTTCCTCTTTTGGGCAATGGATTAGCATAAAACCGTAAGAACTACAATCTGTTATCTTGGGCACCGGAATAAAGAAACCTTCACACAAACGCATGCAAAACCAGAAATTACCATCTGTCATAATGACGGCCTTATAAAAGTCATCGAAATGTGGAGGTGGTAGCATGAAACATGAGGAAAAGGTTCAAGGGACATGAATGCTTTTGCAAAGACCTTCAGTTCCAGATCTGCCTGCCATTGGCAATTTTTTTATTCCTAACAATGTTCTCAAGGTTAAACCTTGACGAATATAGTCAAACAACACGATAAAAACAACACACACACACACAGAAATGAAACAAGTCCCACCCATTCACTCATTATTCTTCACTTCAACCTGCAGCATGTAAGAAGTCCTTCATGCCTCCTGATTATCATAACTGGAATGCATTGAACAGGCTGGAAACTGAAAGATAAAAGCCACTTACAAAAATTATTTCCTATCCTGATCACATACGGTTTTTTTTTCTTCATTCATAAAAAACAGAAGAGAACATTCACATCCACGCGCTATTAAACGAGCAATGACTTTAACAACAAACCACATTTAAAATCTGCTTCAAAGCGCACTTGAGACAAATAAAAACGACTCGGTAAAATGAGAGTTAGCATAACTAAACTCATTCAGGACTGAAAGCAGCGCCTCCCACCTGCTGAGTACCCGAATGGTCCCACCTGCGCCACAGACAGGTGGGACCATTCAGGTACTCAACGTCGACGTTACATTTACAAAAAAAAAAAAAATAAAAAAAAAGGCAGCAGGATGAAAACTGTATCACAAGGTTTCCCCCAGCTCCCGCCATTACAAGCACGGCGGCAGCTTGGCTTTACTTGCCCCGCCTACGTCGCTAGTTTGTTGAGCTTTCAACACACCAGTAACAGCGACATTAAGCTGGACGCGACGACGTGTTGGCATCGCGCACCGTCATGGCGTCTGGTGGTCATGTGCCTCCAGGAGTTTTGCAAATGGCGCGCGCCACCTGGAAGGAGCTCTGTCGGGGCCCATTTTCAGACAACGCTGTACCAAGGTAGGCGGTTCGCGCAAGCGCAACGCAAGCCGCCGATACAATTTCGCATATAGTCGCGCTTTTTGAGGTTCTCGTTGCGAAGACAGAGTAACGAGCGGCGTACATATCCCACGAGCTCGCTCAATACGAGTTCTGGCACGCGCTTGACTCTTTGTCTACACTTGCAATTTGATAAAGTTAACCAGTCAACCGTAGACTAGTCGTCTTCAAACAGCTTTCCTCGCAAATACTGCATTCGCTTGGATAAATAATAACCAATCACAACCAGCAAAACACCGCACCAAGCAGCAGACATTACTGAAGGAAAACTTAATACAAGAAATGTTGTACCCCAAGTATATTTATGGGGGCTCCTGCAGGTCTAGGAGGGCCCTAAGGAGCTGAGTGTAACCAGCATTACATAACTTGTTCCAAGACCAAATCAATGTCTGAATAAGTAATGACAAATTAGTACAAAAAATTGTATCTAATTTGAATTAATGATATTTTTGTTTGTATTTTTTAAGACTACAGTTGTGTGTTTAGGTGTCGTCAATAATACCTTCAAAGAGCATACAGTTACCTAGTCACAATAAATTGTCAACTTTAAAAAAAAATTTAACACAAAAAACAGAAGGGGTATGCTGTGGTGGCGCAGGGGTTAAGCACAGCCCGTTGCAGGTTCGATTCCTGGCCTGGCGACCTTTGCCACATGTCTTTCTCCCTCTCTCATTACCAACTTTCCTGTCAATTAACTATCAAATAAAGGCCACAGGAGCCAATAAAACCTTTAAAAAAAAAAAAAAAAAAACCGGCGGGCCGCTGGTGGATTGCCCTGCCACCGGGCTTAGCAAGTTTTCTGGGGGAAACCCTGTCAGTGAGTGCATGTCCAGCTGCTTAACAACCAGCATGGAAACTGTACACACAAGTACGTATTTGAGCCACCAAGAATGACATGAGGGTTTATTGGCCCCTGAAAAGCTTCCCCTCGGCTCAACGGAGCTAAAAGACTCCCGAAAACGCAGATTAAAAGAAAAAAAAAAAAAAAGCCTTGGGAGGGGGCGCGTGTGCGCGGGCGTCTAGTCGACCTTCTTGCTACGCAGTGGAAGCGTGTCCAGCAGGTATCTGCAGGCGGAGCCGCTGTGCTGAGAGAGGAACGTCAGGAGCTTCCCGTGGAGCAGCGTCAGAGCGGTCTGGTGGCCCATCGCCCACACCCGGTACCACGGCCCGTAGAAGGGATCAGACACGGCCGGACACAGCATGTTGTTCAGGTTGACCTCCGTCGCCTGGGGGGTTTCGTGGGGGAGAGAGAGAGAGCGGGGACAGGTTAATTGGGCGTGAGACCTAATTTTCATGTTAATGGTGATTTAAAAAAAAAAAAAAAGAAAAAAAGAATTATCCACTTGGATGAGGCTCTGGCGAATGTCATGCTCGACTTAACTGTGCATATCTTTATGAATCATTAATTTCCTCTGGATTTCTGCTCCAAAAAGCCCCCTTTTCCCCGCAAATGGAATGAGTGATGAGTTCATCGCCTCGAAGTCGTCCGTAACTTATCATTAGTCTGCAGAAACTCATTTGGCTGCCAAATGATTTCACATCTTGTTAGCGCTGCAGATTTTCTCTGGATTCTTTTTCTTATTGCTTAATTGGCTTCATAGCTGAATAAGAAGATAAAAAAAAGACAGATTGGCTGGAAATACTCAAAAATATACACATTTTTATTTACTTAATATATTTTTTAATTTCATATCCATTTTTATTTGTATTATAAAAACATATTTGCTAAATAATTTATTATTTTTTGTTAAAACATGTTTTAATTTTTTTCTTTAAACAACTTGGTTGCACATTCCTCTGGACTGGAGTATTTTAACTACCCAGTGTGCAGGTATATATTGAAATCTTGCACTTACTGTACAGTACTTAATTTTTTATTTTATTTTAATTTTTTTTTTCATATTTTATCTTTATGCGAATCCTTTGGTTCCTACAGTTGCATAGAAATGTCCCCATTGTGGATCAATAAAGGATATTTCTATTCTATACTTTAATAAGTTTTCAGATCATTTCAGCTGAAAATTATTTACGGCTCTTTTTGCATTAATTTCTCTTCTCAGTAAAGTAGGAAATAGGTTGAATTCAGCAACCGGCATTGCACTGACTGAGGGAAGAAGTCTAACGTTTGAACAGAAGAACCATCTTTATTTCTCTTCTTCTTTGCAAATCTATCATACTGCTACAAATTTAACAGATTTTACTCTGTAAATACACCTAAATCAACTATAATTTCTCTTCAGAACTTCCAGAATTACTCATCACCAAACTGTTTTGAACCTACTCCGCTTTTGGATTTCCACAATTTGCGGCTTTCCTCTTGACTCTACCAAACAGAAAACACGCAGGCCGCAGAGTGAAGTACCACCCGAGCGCCTCTAGAGGGCTCTGTCTTACCAGGCCAAGGGGCTGCAGGAAGATGATGTGGTAGAGAAACAGGATGCCAGTGGAGAGCAGCGCCCACCACATGTTCCCCAGAGGCTCAGGCTGGTACACACCTGCAAGAGAGACAAGAGCTGCCGGTGAAAAATCTCACACAGTTTGAAGGTTAAGCGGAGAGCAGGTGCATGATATGCGTCTCGATCGGCGACCCCGGCCACCTGTTAGACATCCTGCTGCTGCAGCATCGAGGAGCCGGCTGGTGTGTCTGTGTGCTTCACACTGGTTTTTCCCGTTTTCTCTCTGGCAGAATTTTCAGGTGCCACAGGAAGAACTCTCACTCTATCAACGTTACAGATGAAATTGTCTATGTTTGGCTTTCGATGAGACGCTAAGAATGAATACTGAGTGTTGGTATCACTGTGGTACAAACCAGATGATGTTCTCCAGCCTTCTGTCTGGCTGAATGTTGCCCTTTGACATCCTGCTTGCTGCTTTGCGTTTTATCCAGATCAACACAATGTTGTGAATAAAATCTAAACCTACTGCATGTCTTCCAGTAAAACTATGGATTTTTCCTCAAGGTCTGCTTATTTGCTTCAAACCCAAAGATGAGACACGATCAATTTCTGCACTGCAGTTCCTGATGCGCATAATATCTCTGCACCCTGTTGCTATAACGACAGGAGAAACAAAAACCTCTTCTTTTTTTTTCCCCAACAGAGGGAAGCAATACGCAAAATATTAAAGAGTGTGGTATAAACCACTGGGTCAACAGTGTGCCATCAGATGCTTGTTTACAACAAACACGGCAGTGACGTAAACCGGAACCTGTGTGCGCAAAGTCACAACAGCAAACTGCGGCATCATCAACAAAGGTGCAAGTCATTGTGCCGTCTTAACTTGGGGATGTGGGCCTGTGTAGGGACCACATCACTGCCACGTACCTCCTTTCCTCATGAGGTAAACAGGCACCCAGTACATCATGGAATGTTGGATGTAGTAGATCTCCATCTCAAACGGCAGCTGAGGAGCAAACAGAAACATCAATCACGTCAATGTCTCTCTCTCTGACATTAATGGCGTACTTCTCAAAGTGCCACATGTTTTTGCTTTTTCAGACATTAGTGAGGTAAAATGCATCGTATATATCATTTTCGACGTTTGCTCCTCGCGCTTCAGAGCCGGTGACCAGATCAGATAAGATAACACCTTCATGGTAAAACAGAATGCAAAGCAGTCTGCTGCAGCCGTTCTTTCCTGTTTGGGAACCTGATAAAAACTTACAGTTGAGAAAGACAAAAACACATATTTGCATCTGATATTAACAGTAGATTTTCTAGGGGTATGAGTCAGAGTTTAAGCTGTTCAAAGTTTCATTTCTCAGAAAGCAACAGAGGCAGCCCTTATTAGCTGAAGTGAGGGCTGGTTCACTTTGGCTCATGTATAGAAGCAGTAAAGGTGTTGAAGGATGTTTTTTTTTTTTTTAAACTAAATAGCTAGTTATTTATTTACCATACTAAACTTTGACTATTCATCCTAGATTTTAGGGTATTTATTAAAAATATTGTTCAAACAACAGCTATGTTCAAGTTTAGGCGTGTAGTTGTGCTCTTCATGTCATTCCCTGACTTAAACTGGCATGTTCTCTGGTTGTTCCCATTTTGAAGAGCAACTATAAGAATCAGAGAGACTTTATTTATTCCAAAGCAACATTAAATGTTGTAACTCATATCATACGAGCACGTTCAAAGAGACGCTGTGACCTTTGACTGAAGACTTTTGTGCTGTAACAATCTAATGACCGTCATAGCATGCTAACAGCTCTATTTCTGGGCAACATCCTGGCAATCCACCTCATTTGCTTTTGCCGCTAAATCAGTTACTTCCGATACATTTTGCCAAACAGAAAGTAGGGGTGACAATAAAACTGGTAGAGATAAATAAATAAATAATACTTATATACTTACTAGCCTGGTGTTGACTATAGGGAACACTAAACCCAGCAGCGCTCCATTCAGCATGTGAATATGCAGTCTGAAA